TTGTTATTAAAGATAACCAATATTGACCATAGTATTTAAACTTCTTTATATTATAATATGATAAATTGATAAATATTAAAAATTAATTCCAGGAACATTTAAATGAGTTATTATGGTGCAAGCAAGTTTATAGGGTTTTATAAATTTATAGTCAAATTTAAGAGAAAATGGTAATAATTAGTAAAATGTTTAAAAGTAGTTAATGTTACTTAATAAGTAACCTAAAACATATTCAACTAAGTAAATAATTTTAAAATTACAAGTTAATAATATTATTATTAAAAATATGATTCAATAGAGATTCCGCTGTCACTTTTCATTGTTATATTTATATTTCAGTTATACAAAATTCAATAATTCCATTAAAAATTGTTCTAAATCATAACAGCTAAAATTAATGTATATTAATGGCATGCATAAGATTAAAATAGAATAAATATAAATATAAATATAAGTATTGAGGTTATAAGATATATATGTGAAAATCTATTATAAATTTGAGTGGTATAAATTTTAAAGGAATACTATTAATGGGCACAACTATAGAAAGATATTGAATTGATTTATTAATTTAATTGAACCTGATTACCACAGATAAATGAGTATCATCAGTTAGGAGACCCTGGTATATTGGAATGCATTTGGAGAGTGGTGGTAATAAAATCACTAGGGAACCAATACATTATTTTTAATTGGCCTTAGTGAGTTCTAAGGTATCATACTTAAATGTATATATTTCACTAATGTTGTATGTGTCTCATGGCTCTAATGTGGATGCAGTTGTTTTCATTTGTTCAGCTGGTGCTCTATAACAAATATTTAAAAAATAATTATTAAACAGTAAATATATATACGAATTTATAAATCATCTTAAAACATCAAAATTAATTTTAATATGAAAATACAAAATAATACATTTGACTTTGACGTGCAATTCTTTGAACCAAGGTAAAAAAAATATTATTTCCACATTTGATAATATTATTATGGTAAAATAAATGTTGGGTCACTACAGTAATGAATTATGAAAACTAGAACTAAAAAATATGTATCTATTAAAAGTGCATAATATTTTATATGGAATGATTGGAGCAGATAAACTACTAGTAACATAAGCAGCAATAATACACTTTAAAAATTTAGTTCAGTTTGCCTTAAGTGGGGCGCCACACATCTGGATCTTCCATAAAAGTTGTGTGATGTCCACCCATGGGTTGAGAGACGTTATCAACAGGAGAAGCAATAGCTCCCATGTCTTCCCTAGATCCTCTATTTAGTAGTAAGTATTGTAACAAACACAAAACAAAAATCCAGTATTTTTAGAACAATAATAATCAAACACAAAATATAAAAAAATATTTGACATCAGCAAATTAGTATAGTGAATAAAATAAATAAAATGTGTAGATAAACATAAATGAGAACTTACTTTTTCCCAACTGACATGAGACCATACAATAATCCAGTACAAAATACTAAAGCACTGGCTATTAATGTACTAGGGCCAAAACATAGAAGCATTGGTACTAACGATAGCCTGAAAAAAATACATTCAATGTAATTTAACTCTGGATTAACTAATATTTTATAGTTAAAAGTCAATCATAATTTCTAAAAATTGTAACCATTCATTCAATAAAAATTAGTAATAAGATATTTAAAAAATACATTGTATCTTACCCAGCATATAAAACAGCTCTAGTCCAGTAAGGTTTATTTTCAGCCACATCACTAACTTTCTGCATATAATCGATAAACACACAAAGAAAAGGTGCTTCTAACGCAATTAATAAAAGACCAAGAAGCCTGAAATTACACATAAATTAGTTTAGTATAAGTATTTAATTATGTAAAAAAAATTATAATTACTACTTAATATACATACAATTGTATAATGCCACCAAATAAACAATCTGTGTTTAAAAAAATTAATCCCAATCCATTCCAAATACCAGTGAATAAATTAACTGAAAAKAATAATATGTAATAGTTATTAAAAAATACACCATTTGTCTTTTGTTATGATACATACCAATTCCTGCAAATGTCCCCAGTGTTCTGCTACCATATTTTAAGTGCCAAGGAATTTCATCCCTATTTTCTCCTTCATCACTGGCCCTTTTCCAAAGATTTGTAACTTTATCTCCCATAGACTATTGGAAAAAAAAAATTATTAAATACAATTAATTATTTATATTTCACATAAATGGATACAAAATGTACAAGGAATTCAATATTATTTTTAGCTCAATTAAATAATTATAAACATATTTGTCGAGATTGTTTTACCATTATGTAATGTAACTGTGTAAAAAATAATAAMACAAATTAAAAGAAAAAAGAGCAATCCTCTTATTACAATATAACATAACACTCTACTAACTTTCACAGATAGGTGTTTTATTATCTAAATACATTTTTACTGTTAGATAAAATCAAAGTACTAACAATATTTTTTTTTAAATTAAATTTCATTTAATGTTATATATCATATTATATCTATACTATTTTGTTATAGATAAAATGTTAAAAGGAATAATAATTTTTATTTGATATTTAAATTTTAAAGCAAGTAATGATTTTCTTAGATTGTAAATTTTAAAATGATCACAAATTGCATCCAAATTAAAATATCAAAACAAGTGCTCTAAATAATATTCATTTTTAYATTTAAATTTTATAATAGGTAAATTCATTTGAATATCAAAAATTATAAAGTAAAACAAACACATAATGTTCTATGAAACACATTAGAAAGACGGCCAACACATGTGAGGATAACGTCTGCTTAATGTACAGTTTTCAATAATTAGCCTAGAGCAAAAAGTAACTAATTATATTGCTCAATCAACAAATATATTGATTTTAACTAAGTGTTACTTCCTAGTTTATCTTTAATATTTAACAGAACAGACACATTATAAATAGGGTATAATTAATATTTTGTTTTTATTCATATCTTATTTTATAATGTTTATAAATAATTTATGATCATAAGAGAATGACATTTTTAATCATATGAGTCACCGGTTGCTAAAATATGCAAATTATTTTTTCATATCGCCCATAACAATTTTAATGGTATTAATTTAATTTTTTTTATGTTTTATGAATAGTAGTGCTATATGATTTGGAGAAGAGAATTCTAAGAAAACCTTAATTCAAAAAGGGTACCGTAAGCCAAAACAGTTTGAAAACTGCTGATGTAGCAACAGAGACAATTAAAAATTAAAAAAATTATTAGGTACCTCAAAAATAAAACTTAATATTTATTTAAAAATCAATTTTATTCAAAATACTGACTATAATGTAAATAAAATGGGAAAAATGTTTTTTCAAAAACTATTTAAATTAAATCTGCACAGAAATTTACAACACTACTTTTAGTTAAAAACATTTACATACTAAAAAATTCTTAATTTCTAAATCCAGAGATTTCCAAACTGTATACAGTATTGAAAACTTTTATTTTTAATAAACTACAACATATTTACTAATAACCGTTTTTATTTTTTTTATTTTGTTAGTTCACAACTTTGAGATAACTTTTAGTACAGCAGCGGTGTGGTGACACAMACTGATATATTATTATAATCATCACAGATAACGATCAAACAATTCAATAACTACATAGGAACTAAACTACATATTTTATACCAAAGTAATAAATGAACAATATAAATTACATGGAAAATATAATAACATATTATAAATGTATTAGATACTGAGCCGAGTGCTGAATGTATTGTTAACACAGTATGTGTTTTTCATGTGTCTCTACATACATGATAAATAGACAAAATAATGAGTCAATATTAAAATATCTTTTTTAAGGGAAAATGAATCTAGTTGGTGCATTTTATAAGTGATAATTCAAAATTCYCAACAGTTTCCAAAAGTACCGGGAAAAACTAACAAAAAAATTAACAAAAAACAGCAATTTAAACTCAAATCGGATTTAATTTTTGGAGTCTCTAAAAAAAATGACCAAAGATAATAACAATTTCACTGATTGTTGATTTAAGCATTTCCAATATATCATACAATTTTCAAAATAGTTTGACCCGTAGAGCTATTTATAGTCACATTCAATTTTCGATTAATTTCTTAATAAACTAATATCAATAATAGTTATTTCACTTGATCAGATAACTTGAAAATGTAATATAAAATTCTTCGTAAGTAATTGTGCCAAATTCATTTTTTATAAGCATCTGTAATTAAAATTTTGACAAAATTCTTATAAATCACAAATATTTAAAAATCATTTTGATTAAAAAATTTTTCTTTYATATCTCAAATTTTAAAATTTTGTATAATATTATTCATAGGTTAGTTTATCTTTACCAAAAAAAGTCTACCAGAAAGTCAAGTTAAATGTTTATAAGTGTTTGAAGTTTAAAACAAATTTCCCATGGATACTTGTAATGTACACCTTATGTTTATTTTAATTTTTTATGCTTCATAAAAATTTTGAAATATTTTTATTTGCTTTGAGATGTCAAGAAATTTTCATTTTTTTTAGTTT